ATTTTGGCAACTATGAGCAAAGACACTGTGAATAAACTATTTGAAAATACATTTAACCAAAGAAGAGACATAAATGGGAAGTAAGCAGGTGAAAAGATCTGTCTTTTCCAATATTTTGACAATTTTTATTGGGTTGTTTGTTATTGAGTATTTTTGAGTTTATATTCTGTATTCAGTTGGGTTTTTTAATAAATCTGATACATGTTTTACAAGTATTTTCTCCTGGCCTACTGGTTCATCTTTTCATTTCCTAACTATGTCTTTTGAAGAGCAGATGTCTTTAATTTTGATAGAGCTTATTCATTTTTTTTCTTGTATGGATTGTGCTTTTGGTTTTATATCTAAGGAATTCTTACAAACTCAAGGTTACAAAGATTTTCTCTTGTTTTCTTCTAGAAGTTCTTGGTGTTTTAGGTTTTACATTTAAGTCTATTATTAATTTTAATGTAAGTTTTATATGTGAGGCAAGGTATGGATTCAAGTTCTCTGTTTTTACATATAGGTGTTCAATTTTTCCAGCACCAGTTTTTGAAAAGGCTATTATTTTTAAAATTAATTTTTTTATGGTGCAAAAAGGTGCTTTCATTATAGCACTGGGATGGGACCATAGGCTAAAAGAGCTGTACTGGGGTTGGTGAGGAGTGACTGATTATCTACTTTTAACTTTGTGGAGGGAGGGGTGGGGTAGAGATAACGTAAGTTTCTAAGGCATTTCTTTCTGTTTGCTGAAAGTAGGGCATACTGGATCTTGAAGGTCTGGCTGTTTGTCAAGATAAGGCTGTATTTAGTTTTTGATGAAATATCAACATTAAGGCAGCCATGAGTTACTTGAGGAATCTTTTTTTTTTTTTATGATTTATTTATTTTAGAGAGAGGGAGAGTGAGAGCATGTGGGGAGAGGGGCAGAGGGAGAGAATATTCTAGCAGACTCCCTGCTGAGTGTGGAGCCTGACAGGGGGCTCTGTCTCACCACCCGTGAAATCATGACCTGAGCCGAAACTAAGAGTTGGACACTTAACTGACTGGGCCGCCCAGGCGCCCTGAGGAATCTTTTTTTTTAATTAATTAATTTAAGTAATCTCTATGCCCAGCGTGGGGCTTTAACTCACAACCCCGAGATCAAGATTCCCACTCTCCACTGACGGATCCAGCCAGGCAACCTGAAAAGGCTATTATTTTTTTCGATTAAAATGCATTTCTAAAAAAAATATAAAATGCATTTATATGTTTGTTGAGATTTTACAAAACTGTGGTCTGTTCCAGTGTTCTCTAATCCTGTTTCATTTATCTCTATGATTGTCCCTTCACCAGTATCACACTGTCTTGATGACTGTAAGTTTTGAAATCAAGTACTCTGAGTCTTTCACTGTTTTTCTAAATTGTTTTGGCTGTCCTAGTTCCTTCACTTTTCCAAATAAATTTGAGAATTAGTTTGTTGATTTCTTTTTTTTTTAATTTTTTTTTTAAAGACTTTATTTATTTTTTTGACAGAGAGAGACACAGTCAGGGAACACAAGCAGGGGAAGTGGGAGAGGGAGAAGCAGGCTTCCCACGGAGCAAGGAGCCCGATGTGGGACTTGATCCCAGGACCCCGGGATCATGACCTGAGCTGAAGGCAGACGCTTAACTGACTGAGCCACTCAGGCGCCCCGTTTGTTGATTTCTACAAACAAGCTTATGGGACTTTGATTGGGATAGCACTGAATATGTAGATCACTGGGTAGATTGACCTCGTAACAATATTGGGTCTTCTGGTCCATAAGTACGTTATCTCTCTCAATTTACTTAGGTTGTCTTTACTTTCTCACATCAGTGTTTTATGGTTTTTAGCATACAAAACGTGCACATATTTTATAAGATTTATACCTAAATGTTTTATGTTTTTGGTGCTATTGTAAATGATAGTCTTTTTTTTCTTAATAAAGAATTTATTTAAATAGAAAATATTTAAATATATTTTTTTTAAATCTTATTTTATTATGTTATGTTAATCCCCATACATTACATCATTAGTTTTAGATGAAGTGTTCCATGATTCATTGTTTGCGTATAACACCCAGTGCTCCATGCAGAACGTGCCCTCTTTAATACCCATCACTGGGCTAACCCATCCTCCCACCCCCCTCCCCTCTAGAACCCTCAGTTTGTTTCTCAGAGTCCATCGTCTCTCATGGTTCGTCTCCCCCTCTGATTTCCCCCCCTTCATTTTTCCCTTCCTACTATCGTCTTTTTTTTTTTTTTAATATATAATGTATTATTTGTTTCAGAGGTACAGATCTGTGATTCATCAGTCTTACACAATTCACATTCTGTTTCCAATGTATCCTTACTGAAATGTGGATACAATTGATCATTGTATGCTGACCTTGCTAAACTCAATTAGTTTGTGTTGTTCATGGGTTCTGTGTTTTTACTGATTTTCTCTCCTTACTTTTTAAAATCAGTAATGGAAATAACATTGAAGTTTTCAACTCTAATTGTGAATCGATTTGCCTGTAGAATTCTATCATATTTAGCTTTGGTCTTTTGAAGCTCTGTTATTCAGTACATACATAATTGAGACTGTTATGTCTTCTTGCTGTCTTGACCTCTCTATCATTAGGGAGTGTTACTCCGTAGTCCTGGTAACATTTCTTGTTCTGAAGTCTACTTTGTTTAGTAATAATATAGGCTCTGTAGCCCTCTTTTAAGTAGTGTTTGTTTGGCATATTTTAAATATTTGTTTTTACTTTTAACCTTTGTCTTTATCTTGGGTGTCTTGTGGGCAATGCATAGTGAAGTCTTGCTGTTTTATGCATTCTCTGTTTTCTAATCAGTGTGTTTATACTGTTTTCATTTAATGTATATAGAAATACAAAAATATCTCGTTTCTTTTTTCCTCTTTTTTTGTTTGTTGTTGGATTATTTTAATACTCTGTTTTATCGATACTGCTGGCTTCTCATTTACACTTTAAGAACTTTTTTATGATTTGCCCTAGGGTTTACAATACAACCTTAATTAATCTTTAAATAGTACTGCACTGCTTCAGATGTCCTGTGGGAACCCTACAGCAGTGCTTTCCCATCTCCTATTTAGTTCAGATTCCTTTTCTAGTTGTTCTTGTAGCTGGGTCATCTCGGAGCCTGGCTCTGTTGATTACTTTATTACTCCACCGTGGGCCTTTTGTTTCCCTTGCTTTGTTGTAATTTCTGATTGAATGTTAGACATTGTGTGCAGGGCAATAGAGCAAACTTCTTCTGTAATGGGCTGGATAGTAAATATCTTTAGGGCCATGTATGGTTTCTGCTGCATATTCTTCTCCCCCCTCTCTCTTTTTTAAAAACTATCCCTTTAAAATATAAAAATCACTCTTAGCTTACAGCCTATACAGAAATGTTTCCTGGGCTACGTTTGGTCTCTGGGCCGTAGTGTAACCAGCCTCTGCAGCAGAGAATGAGGTAGCTGGTGTGCACCTGTGGACATGGCCAAGCCTCTTCTTCTGCCGGGCTGTCAGTGCGGGATGGGATGGGTGTGGGTTTGGTGCTGCTGTGCTTGCCTCCTGTGTACCCACAGGCTTCAAATGCCTCACTTCTCCTTGTGCTAAGTGAGGGTGAGGGCCGAGCTGCCCGAGAGTCTTCCTCAGTGCCCTGTTCCACCCTTAGATGTTGGCCTTCCCTTTGCGTCTGTGTTCGGGGGGTCTCCTTCCTTCCTTCCTTTTGCTCCTTTCCCAGCTGTAGACTGCTCTTATTGGCTGCTGGAAGTTTGCTGGGCTGATGCTGGAGGACAAAGGGAGTTCTTTGGTGTTTTGGTCCAGCTCCTGTCCATCTTTGTCTGGGTGGTGGGGCCTTCCTGGTGATCCTGTCCTCCTCCCTGTGGCAGCCACACTCTGCACCAGGTCTTTGGCAGGCCCGTACTGGGGAAAGTTGCCCCCTCCTCCCCCAAAGTAGGAGGATTCTAATGATCCAGGCCCAGGATGTCCTGCCCTCCCTCCTGGACAGAGTGCAGCAGTCTTCACTGGGCCCTGGGGGCCCTGGGTCAACAGCAAGAGCCTCTGGGCAGCCTTAGTGTGTGGCAGTTCTCACTGAGGACTTATTTAGTCTGCTCTTGCAATCCTACTTACTTCTTAAAAGGTTTAAGTGTAGTGCTAAGAAAGAGGTACCGATTTTGAGCCTGGTTGGAATTACGACATTCAATCAAGAAGTGGATCGATGGGGGCGCCCGGGTGGCTCAGTCGTTAAGCGTCTGCCTTCGGCCCAGGTCATGATCCCGGGGTCCTGGGATCGAGCCCCACATGAGGCTCCCTGCTCGGCGGGAGGCCTGCTTCTCCCTCTCCCCTACTTGTGTTCCCTCTCTCACTGTGTTTCTGTCAAATAAAATATTAAAAAAAAAAAAAAAAAAGAAGTGGATCGATGGCGTACTAGAGTTTCCCCTAGGGACGAGTAAGTAGTAAGGAGAGTTGGATCCCTCCTAGTTTAGAATGCAGCTTTGCGTTGGGCTGTTTGTGTCTAGCTGTGTTTTAGTGGTGCCACCGTGCGTGCAGGGCACCAGGTTCTGTAACTCTGGAGGGGACTCCTCAGGGACATGGCAACACTGTGCATCCTGCAGCCTGTGACTCTGGGGAGCCTGGGGGCCCTGGAGAGCTGCGTACCCGTACGTGTCCTCTGAGGACTGGTGTGCTTGCAGTACAGATGGAGCGCTACTTCTTAAAACAATCCTGTGTGGACAGAGTTGGAGCAAACAACATGAAGGCCTCATATTTTTAGTTCAGCATCTTAAAATTATCTGATTGTGAGTAATATTTGAAGATGGATGTCACTAAATCAGTGGTCATTGAGTTTTGTTGCGTCACTCTTAGGAGCTAAGCTTTTACCTCAAGAAGTGACACTGTTTCTCAGTCAGCTGGTAGTTACTGAACAGTCAGACCTGTCATTCAGAAAGGCCGAGAGCTCTCGAGGGATAGACTTTGCCACTGTTCCTGTAGAGTCTCATTCTAACCAGAAGTGTTCCCTCTCTCCCCCAGACCCAGACGCAGAGGTGTGTCTTCATGCACTGCGACTCGTCCAGTCTGTGGTCCTGGAGCCAGAAATCTTCTCCAAGTCGGCCTCCGAGTTCCAGAGCTCCCTGCCCCTGAAGCGCATCCTGGCCATGGCCAAGAGCCGCAACCCTCACCTGCAGACCGTGGCCCAGGAACTCCTGGAGGACCTCCGCGCCCTGGAGCATGATGCGTAGGGGCACTTGGTGTGTCCTTTCCCCTCCCCCAGGCCCCCACTTTGTGTTCCAAAACCATCACCGTGCACCATCTGTTATAGATGGTAGAATGTGAGTGCCTCGAGAGGAACGTGAATGCATATGTATCCACACAACTTTCCCCTGGAAGCGAAAGTACCTGTGGGTGGCTGGTTAGCCTGGCCAAGGGGCAGCCTGAGGAAGACTCCATCCTTCTGGAAAGGCCCATGTCCTATACCTGGAAGAGGGCCGCCTTCGAGCGGCTTCTGCTGCTCGGGAGACTTTCGAGACCTGTGGGTTCCTCTGCACAAAGGGGATGAAATAACCACCTGCCCCATTGGTCAGCATTTTCCTGAGATACATGTTTTGAAAAACAATTCATTCTCTCTCTAGTAATTATAATTAATACCCTAAAATGCAAGTTTACCTTTAAACCTTTTGGTGAACCTGCTATTTCAGGTGACATTGGACATTTTAGTTCTGGTTTTTTTTGTGCCTGTTTTATTTTTGAATAAAGAAAGCCAGAAGAGTCATTGATGTGCACAACTACTCTTTTCTGAAATGTTATAAACTCGGTATTAGGAAGTCGTATATTATAATGCAGTTACTTGGTCGGTAGAAAAAACTCTCTTTACGTTGTTCTGGGCACTTGACTATACACTCAGAAGTCCCGCTTTTCTTATAAGAAATACCATGAAAAGGGCCTCCTAGACGAGAGCCCATGCCGTTGGGTGAAGTTCTTCAAATGACGTCTGCCAGTGTGTCCCAGGGTCCCCACAGCACGTAGATCCTTCTCAGCTGTGCCCGGGCCGCTGACAGAGCGCACGGGAGGACACACTTCATTTCTCACAGACACCGTGCGCGTGAGAGTGGAAGTTCCATCCAGGTCACCCCGTAAAGTCGCATCAGGGAGCGTGTTTGCTCCTTTCTTGCGCTGCTTCCCTCGTAGTGACGCTGCGGGGGCTCAGGCTCTGGGCACCTCTCGGGTGAAGGGAGGTGCTGACGGTCCCTGATGGTGGCGGCCTCATGTATGTTTATAACCCGTGTCTGCTGTGGGGCATGTTAGAAGAACTTCATTTTTCTCTGAAGTCGATTTTATAGGCAACGTGAGGTTTATGGCTGAAGCTGAAGCCACGGGCATGGAGGAAGGTGCGGGGCTGAATCTCAGGAGCCGACAGATTGTGGAACACTACCAGCTCATCAGAGCCAGGGAGCTGTTGTTAGAAGAGGCAATTTGCAATTCATGGGTGCAGAAGTCAGTCCATCTGTGGGCTGTGGTTCTGTAGGTCTGACTATTGGTGAATAAAATTGAGGATGTTGTGTGTTTGTACTTTTTCTAACATGGTATTTTCTTTTTGGGTATTTGATAAGGTGACAGGAGATAAACTAGTGTAAATTAGCTTGTGCTGCCTCTAGAATGCAGGGTCTTTTCCTGCCAAAGATGGGGTCTGCAGCGTAGAGAGACACGGCGCTGGGCCAAAGCATGTTTTATGTAGTTTGGCTAATTAGTAGATGGATGTGATGAAGAAGGATACTTTATTTCCTCCTAATTATGAAGTGCTATAGGGATAGCAAGAGTCCTCATGACAACTCCTTCAGGGAAAAACACATGACAAATGCATGTTTCGAGCATATATCATAGGAAAAGTACTTATGGCCAGTTTTAAGGTATGGCTTAGCCTTTCTAATATTACTGTTTCTCATGTGAAAGTCAAGGAGACACATGAGTTCTAACGAAGTATGAATAAAAGCATGTGCTAGGCAGTGTTTGGGGTCTCTTGTAAATTTAAAATCAGAAACAAAAGCAGTAAAATGGCACATGTATTTTTAAATTTATTTTATTTATTAATTTTTTTCAAGATTTTATTTATTATTTATTTGAGAGAGAGAGAGAGAATGAGAGAGAGCGAGCACATGAGAGGGGAGAGGGTCAGAGGGAGAAGCAGACTCCCTGCCGAGCAGGGAGCCCGATGCGGGACTCGATCCAGGGACTTCAGGATCATGACCTGAGCCGAAGGCAGTCGCTTAACCAACTGAGCCACCCAGGCGCCCTAAATTTATTTTTTTAAAGATTTTATTTATTTGACAGAGATAGTGAGAGCAGGAACACAAGCAGGGGGAGTGGGAGAGGGAGAAGCAGGCTTCCCGCGGAGCAGGGAGCCCGATGTGGGTCTCGATCCCAGGACCCCAGGATCATGACCTGAGCTGAAGGCAGACGCTTAACAACTGAGCCACCCAGGTGCCCCTAAATTTGTTTTTTAAAGAATTCCTCTTATGTTAAGTTGAGGCACTATTCTTTCTCCTTGGTGCTGTCAGTTTGTCTGTAAAGGCATGGAGACTGCCAGGCCAGCCGCCAGGCCTCACACTGCCCTGCCCTGCCCCCGAGGGTGCTCAGAGCTGCCCTCTTGCTCACGGAGCTGGGAGACCCTCATTCAGAAGCAGACCCATACTGCAGCTTTGAGGATGGCTCTCCATAGCTGGGTCTGCACATGGTGCTGAGTGGGGTTGAGAAGTCCTCATCCCGGATATGATGTAGCCCCATGCCTTCTCCTTAGTTCAGAGGTCTTTAAAATTAATTAGAGTACCAAGCAGAGCATCGCAAGTCTGGGGCTTGAAACCAGTGCAAGGCTGGCTGTCGGACCAGGGACAAAGCAGGGTGTTGGTGAGAGCTGTAAATATGCCTATTGTACTGGTTGTACCAGGCCTGCCATGAGCTCTGCTGCCATGACATTAATGTGAATGGAAAAGGTTGATACAAATACTTTTGTAGACTTAGTAATTTCCTGAGAAGTCTTGAAGACAGAGTTTGCTCTGTTTTCTCCTACGATGAGGACGCTGACTCCTGACCACAGTAGGGCCTTGGGTGCAGGTCCCGGTGTAATAGGGGACACAGTAGAGAATACAGCACCCTGTAGGGAGGATGCGGGCTCAGAAGGCAGAGTGACGAACCCAGCAGAAGCTCTTTGATACTTTTCCAAGCCAGACTCAGGTGGGGAGGTCAAGAGACAGCTGGTACGCCTGCATCTTCACAGAACTCGTCTGTCGTGCTCATAGCTGTCCCTCTGCTCTGAGAGTGTGCACATTTAGAATTGTCTCCAGAGGTAGAATAAGTGTGGAATTCAGTGGCATTAAGTACATTCACCAATGTCTATGTCCAGAACTTTCTATCATACCAAACAGAAACTCTGTACCCATTAAACAAGATCTCCTCATTCCCCAGCTGCCCTCCTCCCAGCCCCCGGTATCCTCCGTTCTACTTCTGCCTATGAATTTGATTGTTCTACGTACCTCTTGTAAGTGGAATCGTAAAATATTTGCCCTTCCAGGTCCAGCTTATTTAACTTAGTGTAAAGTCTTCAAGGTTCAGCCGTGTTGTATCATGTGTCAGTTTCATTCCTTTTTATGGCTAAATAACATTCCATCGTATCTACATACAGGCACACCCCAGCGATATTGCAGGTTCAGTTCCAGATACCCCACAACAAAGCGGATATGGCAATGAAGTGAGTCTACTGTTCTGGTCTCCCTATTACGTGTCTAAAAAACACAATGTATATGCCTTCATTATGAAATACTTTATTGCTAGAAAATGCTAACCATCATCTGAGCTTTCAGGAAGTTGTGATCTTTTTGCTGGTGGAAGGTCTCCCCTCGATGTTGACGGCTGCTGACTGCTCAGGGTGGTGGCTGCTGAAGGCTGGGGAGGCCGTGGCAACCTCTTAGAATAAACCAGTAATGACGCTTGCCACATCCATCCACTCTTCCTTTCATGAGCGATTTCTCTGTAGCATGTGATGCTGTTTGATAGCATTTGACCCGCAGGAGAACTTCTCAAATTCTGCTGCTGCTGTATCAACTTAAGTGTGTTTAATATCCCAAATCCTTTGTTGTCATTCCAACAATCTTTATAGCACCTTCACCAGGAGTGGATCCCATCTCAAGAAACCACTTCTTTGCTCACCCATGAGAAGCAGCTCCTCATCTGATCAAGTTTGATGCAGAGATTGCAGCATCTCAGTCCCATCTTCAGGCCCCACTTCTTTTTTTTCTTTTTTCCTTTATTTATTTATTTTTTATTTTTTTATTATGTTAATCACCTTACATTACATCATTAGTTTTTGATGTATGTTCCATGATTCATTGTTTGTGGATAACACCCAGTGCTCCATGCAGAACGTGCCCTCTTTAATACCCATCACCGGGCTAACCAATCCCCCCACCCCTCTCCCCTCTAAAACCCTCAGTTTGTTTTTCAGAGTTTCAGGCCCCACTTCTAATCCTAGTTCTCCTGCTATTTCCACCACATCTGCAGTGATTTCCCCCACTGAAGTCTTGAACCCCCAAAGTTCTCCACGAGGGCTGGAATCAACTTCTTCCAAACTCCTGTTCATGTTGATATCCTGACCTCTTCCCATGAATCACAAATGTTCTTAATGGCATCTAGAACAGGAATCCTTCCCAGAAGGTTTCATTTCGTTTTGCCCAGATCCATCAGAGAAATCACTATCCATGGCAGCTGTACCTTATGAAATGGATTTCTTAAATAATAAGACTGGAAAGTTGAAATGACCCATGGGCTGTGAGAATGGATTTTGCGATGGCAGGTATGAAAACATTCTTCTCATTGTCCATCTCCACCAGAGCCCTTGGGGGACCAGGGCACTTTCAGTGAGCAGTCACATTTTGAAAGGAATCTTTTTTTCTGAGCAGTAGGTCTCAGCAATGGGCTTACTACATTCAGTAAGCCATGTTGTAAACAGATGGATTGCCATCCAGGCTTTGTTGTTCCATTGACAGAGCATAGGCAGAGTAGAGTTAGTAGGCATAATTGCTCAGGGCCCTAGGATTTTCAGAATGGTCAGTGAGCATTGGCTGCCAATGAAATTCACCATTCGCCTCTGACAAGAATCAGCCTGTCCTTTGAAGCTTTGAAGCTGGGCACTGACTTTTCCTCTCCAGCTATGAAAGTCCTGGATGGCATCTCCTTCGTCTGCAAGACTTTACTACATTGAAAGCCTATTGTGGAGACGCCTTCATGGATGATCTTAGCTGGAATTTCTGGAGAACTTGCTGCAGCTTCTATGACAGCACTTGTAACCTCACCTGGCACTTTTATGTTACGGAGACGTCTTCTCTCCTTAAACCTCACGAACCCACCTCTGCTAGCTTCCTCACCTCTCAGCCTTCACAGAATTGAAGAGAGTTAGGATCTTGCTCTGGAGGAGGCTTTGGTTTAAGGGAATGCTGGGGCTGGTTTGGCCTTCTGTCCAGACCACTCAAACTTTCTCCACATCAGCAGTAAGACTATTTCACTTTCTTACCATTTGTGTGTTCACTGGAGTAGCACTAGTGATTTCCTTCAAGAACTTTTCTTTGCATTTGCCATTTGGCTGTTTGGTGCAAGAGGGAGGCCTAGCTTTTGGCCTATCTCAGCTTTTGACATGCCTTCCTTACTAAGCTTAATCATTTCTAGCTTTTGATTCAACGTGAGAGACGTTCAACTCTTCCTTTCATTTGAACACTCAGAGGCCATTGCAGGATTATTAATGGATCTGATTTCAGTATCGTGTCTCAGGGAACAGGGAGGCCTGAGGAGAGAGGGAGAGGTGGGGGAACAGCCAGTCGGTGGAGAGTCAGAACGCACACGACACTTACCAGTTAAGTTTGTCGTCTTATATAGGTGCAGTCAGGGCACCCCAAACAGCTGCAGAAGTCACATCAAGCCTCACTGGTCACAGATCACCATAACCAGTGTAGTAAGAATGAAAAAGTGTGGAATATTGCAAGAATTACCAAAATGTGACACAGGGACGTGAAATGAGCAAATGCTGTTGGAAATATAGTGCCGATAGACTTGGAGGACATAAACGTTCAATTTGTTTTTAAAAAAAAGGCAGTATCTGTGAGCAAAGTGCAAAACCAGGTATGCCTGCGCCATATTTTGTTTATCTGCTGATGGACACTTGGGCTGTTTCCACCTCCTGACTGCGTAATGCTGTAGCGAATACTGGTGCACGAGTGTCTGTCTGCATCTCTGCTTTCACGACTGCTGGCTGTACACTCAAATGTGAAACTGCTGTATCACATGGTAGTCCTGTGTTTAACTGTTGGAGGAACTGACAAACTGTTTTCCACAACAGCTGCACAATTTTGTGTTCCCACCAGCGTCCCTGCACGAGGACTCCTGTTTCTCCATGTCCCTGCCAGCTCTGCTTATTTTCTGTTTTTACTGGAGCCATCTTTATGGGTGTGAGGTGGTATCTCATTGTGCTTTTGATTTGTGTTGTTGAGCATCTTGTCACGTGCTTATGGGCCAT